AAAACGTGTGAAGGAAAATGACCAGAAAAAGAAAGAAGCCAAAGAGAAAGGTACCTGGGTTCAACTAAAACGCCGGCCTGCTCCACCCAGAGAAGCACACTTTGTGAGAACCAATGGAAAGGAGCCTGAGCTACTGGAACCTATTCCCTATGAATTCATGGCTTGATGGGTGTTAAAAATAAACTAATCTGTGGTCGAAAAAAAAAAATTATTTCACTGGTGTAAAACAATCAGAAAAGGCAAATCTGCAGAGACAGAAAACAGTGTAGGGGTTGTCTGGGGCCAGGAGAAAAGTAGCCATTCACTGCCAAAGGGCACCAGGGAAATTTCTGGGAGGATAGAGGTGTCCTAAAACTAGTTTGTGGTGATCATTGACAACTCTGTACATTTAGTAAAAAATACTGAATGACACTTTTATAATCGAAAAATCCATGATATATAAATTATACCTCAGTAAAACTTAAAATTAAAAAAGGCTAAGGGTATCAGAGCTTAGGAGGAAAACAAAACAAAACAAAACAAAAAAATACATTTCCCAAGCACTCAAACAACATTCAATATGGTGAAAATCTTCGTTTCATATTGTGGTAAAATACACACAACATCTTAATCATTTTAAGTGTACAAGTGCAGAAGCATACCTGTACCCTCACTATTGTACATCAACTCCCTATTGATCTCCAGAACTATTTTCATCTCGTGCAACTAAAACTCTGTGCCCATTAAACAATATCCCAATTTTTTTTCTTCCCTGGAGCCCTGAAAACTACCATTCTACTTTCTAGGTCTATGAATTTGACTGCTCTGGGAACAATTTTCCAATTGTCTTTAAGTGTCAAAAATGGAAATTTCTTGTATAGCTTTTACATGCAATCTATTAACCAGTTAATGTTTTTAGGTGTGATGTTGGTATAACTTCTATTATATTCGAGAATATATTTTTCTTTTTTAACCTACATTTTTGCATTTCGTAATTTGACCCAACTGTCAAGGCTCAGTCACTTGCTGCCGCCTCTACGAAAGCTCTCTCAGCTCATAGGCTGAACCTTCTATCTGCCTCTCCTCTTTTCCATTTACTCTATCTGATCACCTCTAAGGGCAAAGTACAATAGTATGTCATTTATGTAAATATCCTATTTCCCATACTAGATCACATCTCCTAAAGGTACTGTGTGTTTCGGTCCTGCCCTGCACACGTGAGAACCAATGTCTTACCACTAGTGCTTCCCTAAAGTGAGGTTCCCCTCCAATGGCATCTCCATTACCTGGGAACCCATTAGAAATGCAGTCTCAGTGCCATTCAATTTCTACTGAATCAAACACTCTGAAAATGGGTCCTTGT